TCAAACATTTCTGGTTTTAAAACATTAAAGAGGTTCTGCTGTCTGTAGAAATTGGTCATGGATTATTTCTAGCCTGGGAAGAAAGACCTACAGACAAGCCAATTCCATTCAGGGCCAATGGAATGGGGCACAAGTTAGTATGTAGCTGGTCTTTCTAAGGTGGATGTGGGAACTGTTTACTATTCTAACACCAAGACTGTGTTAATAGCTTCTCATCTGCTCATTTCCCCCAGCGTATGGGCTCATCTTGGCCTGCACACAGTTACCTAGAAATTCTCTATGTACAAGGAGAGGAGGACATTCAAGCGATGACTGGCGCGCCTTCACTGCTAATTCCATTTTTGGAATTGCTAATTTCAGATGTGATGATTTAGCTCATTGAGTCAGGCTGCAAGAGACCAGGAATTACCCAGTGGTGGGCACTTAGCTGAGACCAAGGCTCACTTAATTAGGATTCTGGCACGGTAGGTGGGAATATTTACTATTGCTGTGAATAGTAAATCATAAATGTTAAATTACCTTCAATCTCAGAAATAACTGTGCAAAACTTCTCAGAGCACAGATAATCAGGCAATCATGGAGATGGCCGTGGTTCTCCTAGGCCATCACAGCTTTGCTACCAGGCCCACTTGTGTCCTGAGCTATAATCTCATTTATCCTGGCTCCATTTTTGTGTATTTTACTCAAATAAATAAGAATAAATGCTTAATACACATTTTAGAGTTCCTCTAGAAAAACAAGAACATAAGACATGTGGTCTGTTTGTTTAAACTTAAAGTTTAAAATTCACATACGGCTAGTAAAATATTAAATTCATAAATCACTAAAAAGATAGAAACACAACGTGAGTAGTCTTCCTTGATCATGGTATTATAGGAAAACATTGGACTGAAAATTTGGAAATATGGGTCTCAGTATTCTCTCTGCTTCCCATTTCTAATATAATGTTTGGAAGGTAAGTTTAATTTTCCTGGGCTCCAATTTATGCAACTGTAAATTTAAGAAATTATTAACAATTTTAGCCAGGGTTGCATTCATCATTCAAATAGTAAAAATAAAATGTTCTATTGTAATTTTTTAAGTAAATTTTTATTTTTGAGAGTGAGAGAGAGAAAGAGAGCATGAGCAAGGGAAGGGACAGAGAGAGAAGGAGACACAGAATCCGAAGCAGGATCCAGGCTCTGAGCCTTCAGCACAGAGCCCGATGTCCAGTCCAAACACGTGAACTACGAGACCATGACCTGAGCCGAAGTCCAATGCTTAACCGACTGAGCCACCCAGGGGCGCCAGTGCCCGTCCATTTTAATCAAGTGATTCACAGTGACTGAGGAAAGAGCTGGGCCCAGAGTCTGAAAGTGTGAGATTCAACAGAACCTTTATTGTTACTTTTTATACCACAGTAAGTGCGGTTTCACATATGCGAATTTCACTCGGATTTATGCACTAGATTTTCCTTTTCCTGAATCTCTTCGCGCTCCTCTGGTAGGACAAAAAGATCTGGGTCCCAGTGACTTGGGAGCTCACTCTCTGGGCTTCCCGGAAGCAAACCCGCTGGGAAGTGCGCCCCCTTCTGGTCAGGGAGATCTCACCCAAAGTCAGCGTGCTACTGGGGCCGTGGATCCTCCCCTCCCTGGGTGAAAATAGGAGCTCCAGGCAAGGCCTGTTATCAGCTGGCCCCTTCACCCAGCCCACCCTGGTCCCCTAAGAGTCTGACTTGCCACCACTCAGGAAGTTGCTCTCATTCTTGCCCAATGGGAAGTGAGCTCTATTCAGCACAACAGCCTGGCTCAAGGCTCTCTGGCTGAGGGTGAGTAAGTAGGGTGTGGGGACCTGAACCTTCTTTTCTGATGATACCCGATGCAAGTCTCTCCAGATAAGCCTACCCATAACACTGTCGAGTGGCGCTGTAGAATTCACCTTCACCTTGAGGTCTGCTGCCCTGCAGGTCCAGAGCAGGAAGGAACCCACTTTCTACAGGCTGTTGTCATTTCTAAAGATTCATTTGGAATCATGAAGACTTGTCCCGAGAATTATATAATTAAGATGGCAAATAGCTATGCATTCCATATTATACAACGTACACAGAATGTTTTCACATCCTATATTCCATTTACTCGCACAAAAGTCTGCCAATCAAGATTTATTTTTATTATGCAGACAACAAATCTGTTTTTCAGAGTTGTTGAAAGCCCGCCTCAAAAGTGTCAAGTCTATGCCATTTGTAAAGCATCCACATAGCAAGGGCTCTGCCAGGTGCTGGTGAATTCAGAGACCAGCGAGATTGCACTGAAAGCTTTCTTTCTTGTGCTAAATAGGGAAGATGGTTTTAATAGCTATTTACTGCAAACATATTCATTATATGTTTCCGTTTGCTCAAAATATGGTGCCTCTATTAGGGGATATTAGGCAAATTTTACAGAAGCAAAGGGGTAAGGTTATCTTAGCCACTCCCCACACCAGTGGTGTTTGGGGCGCTGAGAAACTATCAACAGCTATGATCCAGTCATGTTTTGCCAGAGCGGTGTGCTGTGAGTGCCGTCGAATAGGTCTGTCTGCAGTGAGTCTGCTCATCTGTGATCTGAATTTGGGTATGTTCTTGGAAATGATTTTCCGATGCAAATACATTCCTCTGAAACTTCTATTTCTTACCAGCAATCCCCTTATCAGCACCCCTATGGATTTAGACATGATGTTATGCTGGCACTTCCAACTTCTTTCCAAGCTGAACTCATCATCTACTTGCTCAAAGCTTTATTCCTTAGCCTGATGCATGGCCTTGCTTCCACTCCATTTCCAGGTGCCTAAAGGGGAGTCTACCCAGATTCCTCCTCCCTTAACTTCTCTTAGAGGCCTAACCATCAAAGCCTGTAGACACCACTTCCCAACATCTCATACATTTTCCTCCTTCTTTGTGGCTGTGTCTTTGTTCACCTTAAGCCCTCGATGTCTTTCAAGGACTGTTGTGACATCCCCCCCCCTTCCTCCCACCTCTTCCATCAAGCCTTCCTCCACAGGGCTCATCACTGGTGAATCCAAACTCCCACGACGCTCTGAAAGAATGGAAGTGCCAATGTCATACTGCCCACATGCTTAGCGCTACTGTGGCTCCTCTTCTCCACATTGCATTCCAAATCTACTACGCTCATGCTTCCTCAAACTGCTTCTCCTCCAAGATGACCTTGCAAGGACAACTGCGCCCAGCAAACTCTTTTTTTTTTTTTTTAATTTTTAAAGTGTTTTTTTTTTTTTTTTAATTTATTTCTGAGTGAGAGAGAGAGACAGTATGAGCAGGGGAGGGTCAGAGAGAAAGGGAGACACAGAATCTGAAACAGGCTCCAGGCTCTGAACTGGCTGTCAGCACAGAGCACAACGCGGGGCTCTAACGCACGAACCGCGAGATCATGACCTGAGCCGAAGTTGGACGCTCAACCGACTGAGCCACCCAGGCGCCCCACAAACTCTTACTTCTCTTGCAAGGATCCTTCTTCCTGTGAGGACCTTACTAACCCCTCCCGCTACTCCCTCAGTTAGGCTTAAATTTTCTTCGAAGGGCCTGGGAGTCAACGTTGAACTGACCCATAAATCTGAGTCTGTGGAACTTGCTTAAGGACGCACACCAGTAACAAGTGACAACAAGAACATAAGTCAAGGGAGGGATTCTTTTTCTTGTCATTCAGTGTTTTATCACCAGTACCTGGTACATAAGACTTCAGTCAATATTCTTGAGTTAATGAGTAGACTGACTTAATGAATGAAAAGTTAACTTCAGAGCCCTGCCTTTGGCTTCCATTCTCCTGACTCCCAATCTCTGTAGAGTGTGTGAATGTGTGTGTAGAGATAATTCTTGAACAAATAAACTTAAAAATCAAATATCATGATTTTTTCTTTACAAGAAACCGCAATTAAAGAATAATGGTAGCTCCTTGCACACAGACACACACATACACACATACATGTGCACACGCAATTGTAAAACACTGAAATATACAGCATTGGTAATTCATTTCATTTGCTAAGAGAAAATTTGGAAACTAGGAAGACACTCTACCTAGAAATCATATAGCTTTACATTTAGAATTAATTTTCAGCTAACTGGTAGAATGAACTTGTCTTGTAAATTGTTTTTCTAAGTAGTGTGAACCAGAGGCAGACTGAAGTAAACTGTGGTTGCTCTGGAGGAAATTCGGAGCCCTGCTCTCTGCTGCTGGCCAGGGGAGGAGAGGTGCAAAGACAGTCCTCCCCGCTTCAGAAACTGTGAGAAGCAGGCGTGTGATGTGTGAGTTGTACATGGGTTTACAGACTTCCACCTTAAAGTCATGGGGCCTCTGTTTGCACATAGAATGACGGTTGATTTTATTTTTATCTGTTACTGACACAGACCCAGCCATTCACTGTGAAGCAGAACAAAAGCCAGGAGGGGGATGAAAGAAGTCCAAGATGGATCTTTCCTGAACTTGATCTGTATCAGAGTTATAAACAGTTCAAGGCACGAAGAAAAAGTAGATGGGCAAGCACTGTTGCTTAAGACAGAGCAAAGAACGACTTTCCCCTTTCCCTTCCCCCTCTTCTCTCTCTCTCTCTCTTTTTTTTTTTCTCATGCAGCTACTCAAAGCAAACACTGCAGGAGGTGGAAGGAGCCCATTTACCAGGGACGCTCTCACATGCCTGCACATCGGCTCCCTGCCCATGGCCATTCCCTCTATTGTTACAAAGCACATTTCATAATGTAAATCACCATCTCCTACATGGCTCATTATTCTTCTTTCTGAATAAAATGGGAACACATCAATTATGTGCCTGTTTATTTCTAAATGCATACACTTGTAACACTGACCTCTTTCTTGCTTTTATATTTTTCGGGACGTTCCTGACATTTGTCAACTGGGTTAGTTCCTGGACACTGCTAACCTATTCTCTTATTATTTCAGCAATTTTCAAATGGTCTCTTCTACCTAATTACTCTGACCTCAAGGCACACGGGGATGGGTGTGTGTACTCACCACTGCTTGTAATCCGCATCGCAGTTACAGTAGTACTTCGGGTCTGTGCAGTTTCGCTCGATGCCACACGCACACTTCTGGATCCCGGGCCCGGAGCCACCCCAGTAGTAGTGCTTCTCGTTGGCCTTGCCAACCCACCAGGTGTAAGGACTTCCATCTACGAGAAAAGGGAGAGGCACAGTCAGGTAGATGAGGCATGACCGCTCTGATGCCACACGTACACCCTCACCCCCAGAGGCACCATCGCTGTCTGGAAGACTGACCATCACTTTACCCTCTTAAATGTAAATGCATTTCAATAATAGGAATATTTAATAAAAAATTATGACAGGCAATGGCAAGCTTAAGTTTCCCCACCAGAATATGCACCTCTTTTCCTGGAAGAAACTTTGATATTCAAGCTTCAGTAACTTAGGTGTCTACTCAGTAGCTGCGCTGGCCAGGTGGGGACACCCATGATAAAGGCATATAGACATGCACTGATTCTGTAAATTACAGTGAAGTTCATGACTAGCCATGCTCTTCCATGAAGTGAGAGTCGGGGGGTTCATAGACTATTAGAGCCAAATGACCTTCATTGTGTCTTAGTGTGAGCTCCTTATTTTACAGGTAAGGAAACTGAGGTCTAGAGAGGCAAAGTGATTCTTTCAATCACACCGCGGATTTGCTCCCAAACCAGAAGTGTGACATTGTATCTCACAATATACTATACAATGCTCTTACACAACACACTTTCCTTCATTTCAAATAATGGCCTAATATTCACTCATGTAGTCATTCGTTCATCCAATCATCAAACAGTGCTTGAGTTTCCACTGTGTGTGAAACATTCTAAGAAACTTAGCAGAATGATGGAGGAAATAGATACAGATTGAGTTTAATAAGACTTATGACACACAGGAGCCTGAGTGAGAGAAAAGAGGTCATGAAGAAAAGTTTCCTGGAAGAGGTAAAGTATTTGACCTATGTGTTGAAGGCTGAATGGGCGTTACTCAGGTGCATAAGGATGTAACAGAGGTAAAGACTTGTACAAAGAAGGAGCAGATTGTAAAAAGACAGAGATGTAAAGTTCTATATGGAAAGAATATAGAGGAGTATGTAGGTAGAATATGTTAGAATAAGGCTGAAGATGTATGTTTGAAAGGGTAGCAGGGGCAGGTATTAATAAATAGCAGATGAAGGCATTTCACAGAAAAATCTTCATCCACATAAGAAGTTACTTTGCACTGGCTTATTCTTGCTTTTCAATGTTTATTTCCTCCCAACTTAAAGAGGTTGAACTTCATCCTGTAAGTAATGTGAACCAATTAAAGGATTTTAAGCAGGGAATTATCATGATCAAATTTGTATTTCAGAGATCTACAGTAAGATGAAAGATTTCCAGGGACTGAAGTCACAGAGGCCAGATGTGATGCTCCTAGGTTAATGCAGAAAAGACAAAATAGTAGTGGAAATGGAGAGGAAGTGGAAAGAGATTAGCAAAATATAACTGGTGTAGGGTTGTTGGGATTACGGTGGTGGAGAAGATAGGAAGGTGTTGTGCAATAAGGCCAGGTTTCTGGCTTGGGTGATGTGTTTCACCAAGCTAATGATAGTGGGGGAGGAAGATGAGTTTAGGGAATATGTTGAAGAAAGGGTGATGGGCTTGATACATAAAATAGAAGTCAGGATCTCAGAAGCATTCTTGGGCTGCAAATCCCATTTTAGGAACTACCAGGGTAAGTGAGAAAATACTGGAAGCAGGAGAGATGCCATTGGAATCTATTAGGTTATAAGAGCATTTGGAGAAGAGAAAGAGGCAGATGGCCATGGTAGAGGTCAGGAAAGGGAGGAGTCAGAGAGGATGGAGGGGGGGAAAAAAGCCAAAGAACTTCCCAAAGACAGTGTGATCTGCATTGTCAGATTTCAGAGTGATGTCCATAAAGATGAGAAACTTAACTGTTTCTTTTAATTTGACACCTAGATGCTCACAGGAGATTTTTGAGGGAGTGTCAGGTGAATGATTACAAGAAGCCAAGCAGCAGCAGACAGGGGAGGGGATGAAAGGGAAGAAGGAGAGAAGTCCTAAGAACAGCTTCTCCTGCAGGAGGCTGGGAGGGCGTGGAATCTAACGGGGCAGTGCCAGCCAGGAGACCAAGAAGGCCAGTCAGTTAAAGTCTTCAGGCATATGGCTAGAATTCCATTATAATAACTCAGCCATGCTCTCAGGACGTTGGGTATGCACTTGCCCCAGTGCATGTGTCAGTGCTCAGAAATAAAAATGAGGCAAGAGCCATACTGGAATGGCATAAAAACTGCTTCACTAATTAGGTTTTTTTTTTTTTTTAATATTTTTATTTATTTCTAGGAGAGAAAGAGAGACAGCTTGAGCAGGGGAGGGTCAGAGAGAGAGGGAGACACAGAATCTGAAACAGGCTCCAGGCTCTGAGCTGGCAGTCAGCACAGAGCCCGACACGGGGCTCGAACCCACGAACCGCGAGATCATGACCTAAGCGAAAGTCGGACGCTTAACCGACTAAGCCACCCAGGCGCCCCTAATTAGGTTTTTTTTTTAAGGTAGATTATTTATTTTTATTTTATTATTGAAGTATAGTTGACATATAACATTATTTTAGTTTCAGGTGTAAAACCTAGTGATTTGATAATTCTATATATTACTCAGTGCTCATCATTGTAAGTGCAGTCCCCATCTGTCACCATACACACTATTACAGTCAGAGAATATCAACTATATTCCCTATGCTGCACTTTCCATCCCATGACCTATTTGTTTTATAACTAGAAGTTTGTACTTCTTAATCTCCTTCACCCATTTTGCCCATTTTCCACCCTCCTCTCTTCTGGCAACAACCAGTTTGTTCTTTGTATTTATGAGTCTGGCTTTTTGTTTGTTCATTTGTTTTGTTTTGTTTTGTTAGAATCCACATGTAAGTGAAATCATATGATATTTGTCTTTCTCTGACTTATTTCATTTAGCATAATAGGTCTATCCATGTTGATATAAATGGCAAGATTTCACTCTTTTTATGGCTGAGTAACAGTCCATCACACACACATACACATGCACACACACCAACTTCTTTATCCATTCATCTACTGATGGACACTTGGGCTGCTTCCATATGTTGGCTATGTAAATAAAGCAATAAACATAAGGCTGCATATATCTTGTTAGTGTTTTTGTATTCTTTGCATAAATACCCAGTAGTAGAATTACTGGATTATGTGGTATTTCTATTTTTGATTTTTTAAGGAACTTCCATACTGTTTTCCACAGTGATCGCACTAATTTATATTCCTACCAAGAGCTTATGAGGGTTTCCTTTTCTCCGCATCCTTGTCATTTTAATAATAGCCCTTTGACTGGCATGAGGTGATATCTCCTTGTGTGTTTAAAAAAATTTTTTTTAGTGTTTATTCATTTTTGAGAGCCAGAGCACAAGTGGGGGAGGGGCAGAAAGAGAGGGAGACACAGAATCCAAAGCAGGCTCCAGGCTCCGAGCTGTCAGCACAGAGCCCAACATGGGGCTCTAACTCAGGAGCATGAGATCATGACCTGAGCTCAGGTTGGATGCTTAACCGACTGAGCCCCTCAGGCGCCCCTCCTTGTGGTTTCGATTGGCATTTCCCTGGTGCTGAATGATGTTGAGCTTCTTTTCATGTTTGTTGGCCATCTGGATGTCCTAGCCCAAAAATATCTCATTCACATCCTCTGCCCACTTTTTATCAGATTATTTGTTTGTTTGGCTGGTTGGTGTTCAGTTGTATAATTTCTTTATCTTTTTTGGATATTAACCCCTTATTGGATAGATCATCTGTAAATATCTTCCCCCAGTCAGTAGGTTGACTTTTCATTTTGCTGATGGTTTCCCCTGCTTTGCAAAAGCTTTTTGTTTTGGTGTAGTCACAATAGTTTATTTTTACTTTTATTTCCCTTTCCTGAAGACATGTATCCATAAGTATGTTGCTAAAGCTGATGTCTAAAAGATTAGTGGCTATGTCTTCTTTTACTAGTTTTATGGTTTCAGGTCTCACGTTTGGGTCTTTAATTCATTTTGAGTTTATTTTTGTGTCTGGTGTAAGAAAGTCATCCAGTTTCATTCTTTTGCATATAGCTGTCCAATTTCCCCAAAACCTTTTATTAAAGAGGCTGTCTTTTCCCCATTGTATATTCTTGCCTTCTTTGTGGTAAATTAACTGACCATATAAGCTTGGGTTTATTTCTGGGCTATCCTTTTCAATTGATCTATGTGCCTTTTTTTTTTTTGCCAGTACTATACTGTCTTACTATAGCTTTATAAAGTATCTTAAAATTTGGGATTTTACAACTTCAGTTTTGTTCTTCTTTCTCAAGACTGTTTTGGCTATCTGGGTCTTTTGTGGTTCCATACAAACTCCAGCATTGTTTGTTCCAGTTCTGAGAAAAATGCTACTGGTTTTTTGATAAGAGATTGCACTGAATCTGTAGACAGTTTTGAGTAGTATGAACATTAGTTCTTCTAATCCATGAGCATGGGATGTCTTTCCCTTTGAGTCATCTTCAATTTCTTTTATTAATGTCTTATAGTTTTAGAGTATAAGTCTTTCGACTTCTTGGTTAGATTTGTTGCTAGGTATATTGATCTTTTTGGTGCAATTGTAAATGGGATTTCGTAAGGTGGGCAATTTAATGTAATGAAACTCTCCTGGGAGCTTCAGGCTTCATGTAATAAATGAGCAAATGCTCTGAACTTGGAAAAGAGTTAGACAAATATTCTAATTCATACAAATTTCTAAATTTTTCAGTTGTATTGACTTAATTTGGAAAAGTTATTATTTTTCCCCTTGCAAGGTCATTTATGGCACCTGGATTAAAAAAAAAATGTATTTGACTTCATTTGGTAAATAGTAGAGAGAGAGATTCCAGTATCCTGTTCTAGATTATTATTATTATTTTTTTAATGTTTTATTTATTTCTAGGAGAGAGAGAGAGAGACGGCATGAGCAGGGGAGGGTCAGAGAGAGAGGGAGTCACAGATTGAAACAGGCTCCAGGCTCTGAGCTGGCAGTCAGCACAGAGCCTGACGCGGGGCTCGAACCCACGAACCGCGAGACCATGACCTAAGCGAAAGTCGGACACTTAACTGACTAAGCCACCCAGGTGCCCCTCCAGCATCC